GAAATATGTTGAAGAAAACAATCAAACGACTGCAGAAATCGGATAAAATGTAAGTTCGAATCTGAACTAAAAATAATGTCGCAAATTTTATGCAAAAATTTATTATTCATTATTCCGTAGAAGGGATAGTTATTTTTGTTAGGAGAAAAACTTTATCCTTTTCTGATTTTATTAACCGACTTCAAAAAAGGAGGAGGTTATCAACTTCGCTGAAGCCGCTCATCGTCGACTACAAGTTGAACTGGGCATGAATCATCTGACAATCTGGAAGTTCATAAATGCTTTAAAAACTATACAACATGGACGAGATTTATTTTATGAACAATTAATTGCTGGGCATAATCCACCACAAAAATTAAAACGCTATAAAGATGCAGATGAGAGAATTTTGTTGATTGTAAATAACTACGACGGTCGAAATATCATTGAGTATTTAAGGGGGATCGCTCATAATTTTGAAATGGAATAATGATTTGAAACTATTAAATATAAGTGTGTTTGTGTGTAAATAAACTAAAATTTAATTTAAAAAAAAAACAAAAAAAAGTTAAAAATCAAATAAAAACAAAAAAATCAAATAAAAACAAAAAAATCTAATAAAAAACAAAAAAAAAATATTTAAAAAAGCAAAAAAATATATAAATATATTATAATAACTAATTTGACAAGGCTATCAACATAGCCGCTTTAAATGTACCACTTAAGACGATTTTATATTAGACCAATCGCTTTAGTTGTGCTATAAAGTGACTTGTTGACTTCATCTGTTGATATACAATGTGTGGAAAAAATTCTACTCTTAGACTATACGAATAAACTTATGGGAGCTTATGATGAATAATGACTAATAATGAAAAAATAGTATAATAAAATATTTTTACTTATAGAGATATATCAATAAATTTTAAAAAATGTGCTTCTTAAACTGTAATAGGGAATGACAATTTATGTATTTATTTATTTTAAATTAATTCTGATGCTTTGGTAGAATTCACTGTTGGGTACTAATTAACAGTGCTGTTCTTAAAGTGGCGCTGGGAAACAGTTACAACGCCCAAACAGAACACAAGGCGAAATGACCATCATAGTAGTTGAATCCGATGACCCACACAAAAAAAAAATTAATCCTTTTACTATTTATGTTTTTTAATATCTATTTGGAAAATAATGAAAAAATATTAATAATATAATAAAAATATTATTAATATAATAAAAATATTATTAATAATAGTAATAATAATCATCCCGAATAGAAAATAGCGGGTTTTAAAAGCTATTAAAAGCCAATATAGCGGTCTCTATGTCTTGCAAAACCTGCTATATACATAATACAGTTGCAAAACACGCTATATAGTAAATATAAACCTAAATAACTTAAATCGGCAATTTATAGGATTATACGCAACTATTCCTACGATTTAGAATAATTATTTTTAATTTTTTCAATCATCAAAACATTTTCTGTGTCTTATTTTTATTTAGTAATAGGTTTTTCGTTATTATCCAAAATTCAGTTATGAAGCATATAGCGGGTTTTGCATATGGGCGACTCAATTATTAGTCAATATTCATTATAAGCTACTATTCCCCATCTTTATAGCGACTATTTCGTCGGTGGAAATTATTTTCGCGGCAAGATGACGGCGGCGAGTCGGCGGTGGCGAGTTGTCCCCGCGGCGAGATGGCGACGGCGAGATGACGGTGGCGAGTCGACGGCGGCGAGTTGTCCGACCCCGTGTTGCGGTCGAGCTAGACAATTTAAAATTATATTCAGCGTAGGTGTTTCTGTCTATTCCAGATCCATTCTTGTAGGTACTTTACTACAAGACTTTTATTTTCCAGATATGCCACTCCCGGATTAACGATTACTCCCCGATGCAATCATAAGACAAAAGTATACGAGTGCCAGTTACTAAATTCTAATGACTGTTTTTTCGTTCATAAATCATTCTATACATATAAAACAAAACCACAACAAGATAACTTTAAACTGCAGTATTGTAAAGTATCCGTTTTTAAATAAAATGTTTATTAATTTATTTTGTTTTATATTATGCTAATCCATCCCTGTATGCACCTGTATTTTGTTATATTAAAATCGTCTATATCCAATACGTTTTATTTTAAAATTGGCCAAATCCTCGATTATCAAATCAAACCGAGCTATCTCCAGAATAAAAACCGCAATTGTAGCTTTTGTGCAAAATAATCAATATGTATTTCTATATAAGAAAGTGAAACTTAATGAGAACTTTTAATAAAATAACGCAATTTCACTATCCCTTCGTACATTTTGTTTAATTACTAAAAGTACCTTTTTCAGTGTTGCAATTCTCACGGAGTTTGATTTTTAGCGACACATATGTGATATGTGCTCTTAAACATATTCCATTTTTTTATACCAAAGAAGGTCGTTTTCATTTTTTTTTTTTTATTTTAACAGAAGTTATATTTGTTTTAAGTTTTCTTGTTGTTTAAATCTTGTTTTATTTTTAATATTACTAACTAATAAACTATTAAAACTAGTGATTGATTATTTCAATTCAAAATAAAATATTATGTATGTAATAAACGATAGCACAATTTAGAAAACCATCTGGTACAAATTAGACAACCGGTTGCCTTAATTGTACCACTTGTAAAGGTATTAAAAAAGTTAAATTTGGAACAAAAGATATTCTAAAATTTTGAAAAAAAATATGTTTTTAAAACTAATGCATATTATGGAGCAATTTAAACCATCATTTTCTAAAATTTGAAATCGCTATAACAAAAAACGTCAGAACTGGTCCAAATTGGGCAACCTTACACTATTACTAGATGATGATTCCTGTAATCATTTTAACTGAATGTTTTATATTCCAATATTTTTATATTTGCATGAAAAAAGTAAACATTGACCTCATTTTTAGTTTTAAGTAAAATTAGAATTCTGCACCTTTTTTATTTTCCAAACTTGCATCATTTGTAGTATTTTGTATTCAAGGATTCAAGTTATTATTTGTAGAAAACATATTTTATTGATAATTTACATAAACGACGAACAGCCCCTTCTCTAAAATATGAATATCTATTGTACAAGTTTGTAGACTTTTATATCAGTTTGTGCGGCCAAAGAAATATCCCAAACTTGATTTTAGGACAGAAGACTATTATTTGATGTATGCGTATGAATTTTGTTTAATAACAAATTTAAAAAAAAAGTTTTATTTAAAATGTTAGTAATTTAGTACTCGATTTTAGACAAATCACCAAATTTTATTAATAATGCATTTTCATAGGAAATCATTGAAAATAGGTCTCCCTGTATATATAATTTATATTTCTGCAAATTGTAAATATTATGCATAATAATAGTTTTCTTTAAATTCTAGACAATTCTGAAATATGACAACACGGCATCATAACGTTTGCTATTCTTGCTCTATCAGATATTTGTCAGTTAAAACCTAAAGTAAAATTCAATATGAAATCAGCAAAATTTTAAATTTACGGGCATTTTAAAAATTACATGAAAGTGATTAATAAAATTTGGCAAGACTATTTGAAAAAATGTCTAGAATAATATGTAGTTATTTGAACTGCATCAGTGCTAACAGTTTTCGTTATTTTTTTTTTTTTAATTATTAGCAGTACAAATTAAATTGTATTTTTTCAATTTGATAAACATTTTACCATAAGCTACCGAAGTTTTACTACAATCCATCCAGTAAAAGATAAGATCGATGTGAAATTGTAAACCTCGGTTTTTATTATGTAAAAATACACTGAAATTATCAAACATTTTGTTTCAATATCTAGAAATATTACCTACCTAATAAGTCATATTCAGAACAAGCAAGCCATTACATTCTGACAAATATTTATCTATTAAAAATGAAATATAATTTCTTACCTTAAATTAATAATAATTGTAAATCTGTCTCTCATATTTGTATGACGGTAAATCACTATTATTTCTTGAAAATGTTTCTTAACTAGTTCCACTATGACACTAACAAGAAGTTGTATTGTAATTTTGAGTAACACTTGCCTGTCGTCGCCTTGGTTACACGAAAACAGACGACTATGTTATTCTACAAAAACTATTAGAAAACATTTTTTGCTCTGTGCAAAAATATTTCTAAATTGTAATAATATTTGTTATGAATTCAAATAAAGGACAGAGTAGGTATATACCGTTTGTCCCATTTATTTTTAGGAATAACAAAATGTATATTTGTTTTAATTTTGGATAGAATTATTGGATAGTATTATTGGTTTCATTTCTATTTCCCATACATTATAATTTCGATGTTTTACGCGAGTAGGTATATTTAATTGTCTTTTGTTAGAAATTAGTAGGTAATTATTCCTTAAATTTTCTGATGTAATATACGAGGTGGACCGAAATTTCGCAGCTTTATCGCTAGTATGAGTATATTGAAGTAATTTGCCTTTTGTATTATTTGTTATTAAAATTAGGTAAATATTTACGGGAAATTATATTTTTTTAATTTGCTAATTTAATATACGAGGCGAATCGAAATTTCGAAGCTTTATAACTAGTACATTGAAGTGACTTGCTTTTTGTAAATTTTTAACTAAAATTAGGGGGGCAAAATTACGTTTTTTAGTTAGAATACCAGATGAACCAAAATTTTGAGGCTTTTTAAGTATTTTGTAAAGCACTTTTTGTATTGATTTTGGGTACTGTCATTATTTGTTTAAATAAAATTATCTAATTTTTCTTATCATTAGAGGAAATTTTCCTATTGAGCACAAGTTTGCCTCTCTACAGGGTAACCTGTTAGAAGGAGTTAATAGTATGAAGTGCAGAAATGGAAAATCGCTAGGTAGTGAAATTGTATAGGAAAATTTATGTCATTGTTAAAATTTAAATTTCATTTAGCAGGGGCGATTTGAAATATAAAACAAATATAAAGTTAAGAAGTGGATGTCATGGTGGTTTTTGTAAGTTGAGGATTTTCAGATAAAAATTTTTGGATTATCAGAGTGGAAATATTAATAGTTATGGGAAAAGTTAAGGAAAAAACCGAGCATAGAAGATAAGTTAGAGTGAAAAGCATAATTATTACAGCAGTAAAAGAAAAAACGAAAGAGTGGACTTTTTTCATAAAATTTAATTTGATTTTATATTAATATATCTGTAAAAGGTCTTTACAAAAACATACCACATATTCCTTAGACCAAAATAAGTCGATATAAGTAAAATTACCTCAGTACAAAGTTGCTTCGTTTGGGCTCCAGAGGGCCTTGAAGTTACAATTTTTAAATCGTTTTTCCCATATAAATTTAAAACGGCATATGCGATTTTGCTGAAATTTAGTATATTGGTAGAGTTTTATTTGGCAAAAAAATGATATTAAAATTTTATCCGATAAAAATACATAGACGTAGAACTTGATTTTTTAAATACTTGTACCTTTAAAAATTCTACGCCAATAGAAAAAAAGGAGTTTGAGTATAAAATTTAGATTGCGCAACTCATTTACTTTAAAAAAGGTACTCTTGATAAGACTCGATTACTCTCATGGTTTTGACGAAATTTGCATTTTAGTAATTTTAGAACATAAACAATAATTATTAAAATATAAACTTTGTCAAAACCATGAGAGTAAATCGAGTGTTATCAAGCGTACATTTTTGAAGTAAATGAGTACTTAATCCAAATTTCATATTCAAACCCCTTTTCTGCAATTGGCGTAGAATTTTTAAAGGTGTAATTATTTAAAAAATCAAGTTCTACGCCTATGTATTATTATCGGACAAAATTTTATACGATGAAAAAAATTAAAATGTACTTTTTTCATATCTTCTTCAACACCTCTAATCGAGACTTTTAACAAAAATACTCGATTCTTGCCATGTACGATTTTTTGAGGAATATTAATTATTTGCCTGCAATACGTATACAAAAACATTTATTGCTGGTTTCCATAGTTTCATCTAAATAAAAATATTGTCAAGTTTTAACACCTAATATCTTGTTAACGATTGAAAGTGTTCTATCTGACTTAATAATTAAAAGAAAAAATGCGTGGTTTATTAATATGGCTGTATAATATACCACCAATCTAGAATATACCGATATGTTACTAACATTAGGATTTTGTGAAGGAAATCCTCGAGAGAGTGTCAGGGTGTACTTTGAAAGGTTTCCAAATCGTCGTGTACCTAGCCACCCAACTTTTGCTGCTGTTGAGAGACGTCTTCGGGAGACCGGTTCCTTTGCTCCCAACACTGTTGATAATGAAAGAGAACGTTTTGTAAGGATTCCTGAAGTTGAAGAAGACATTTTAGAACGTGTTGAAGAAGATCCAGAATTAAGCACCAGACGAATTGGAAGGGAACTAGGAGTAAGTAAAGATGTCGTTCATAAAGTGCTTGGAGAACAATTGCTATATCCATACCATAAGAAGCCAGTACAAGAATTATTAGTCCATGATCCTCAAATTCGTTTGGGTTTTTGTCGATTTGTTAATATGCAAAGAGAAAGAGATTCAAACTTTGTCAAGAAGGTTCTCTTTACCGATGAAGCGGATTTTACAAGAAGAGGTATAACTAATACTAATAATGAACATGTTTATGCCGTTGAAAATCCGCATGCAATAAAGGTAAACCATTTTCATTTTACAAAATACGTTGCCAAAATTGTTAGAAGATTTACCTCTCCAACTTCGGAGAGATATGTGGTTTATGCAAGATGGAGCTCCACCACATTTTTTTTAAACGTTAGAAACCACTTAAATGAACAATAACCACACAAATGGATAGGCAGAGGTAATGACGCACCTATATACTGGCCACCA